TTAGGGCTGAATCCAAAGCCCTGATCCTGGATGAGAAGCCTTTCCACCTAAACCAACAGACTGCTGCAAATTCTCCTAAAACCCTCTAGGGTTCAGGGTGTAGGGTTACAGGGCCCACGCAGGACAGCAACCTTGTGATTGTAAATCTGTCTCAGGAAGTATCTCGGCCTACAATCCTGAAGAGAAACACCGCGCCTACCTGCAGCGCCTGCAGGACGGTTTAGGGTTTAGGCATCTTTCTGCTCCTTCTCAGGGCATGTGCAGTATGCTGTCGACTTGTGATTCAGAAACGCTGTTCCCTCAGGAAGAAAATGATATCTGATAGTAGAGATTGACTTGATCCTACTTGTTGTTAGCCCTTTCAAGGACAGAGAGATTGAAACTGAGTGGTTTCCATTTCTGCAGAAGTGACCGTTGTTTTCGACGGCGCACCCGATCTTCTTGCGATCTATCTGCTTGCCCCTGATGCCATGAAGTCTCAAAGACCATCACGTCGTTGTCTCCTCCAACATGGTTTGTGGCAGGAGCGAAACCAGGTGCAGCGGCAGCAACAGCAGGATGAGACTACACAGGAGAAGTTGAGGCCAGATAGTTGCTGCTGTCGGGCCGCAGGGCGTCATCCCAGTCTTCTCCCATGCTCTTTAGGGTTTAGGGTTTANNGGTTTAGGGTTTAGGGTACACAAGCATATCGCACCGGGATCGGACGGAGAGAGAAGACCACAGCTCAATTTTAATCCCGTTGCGCCAAACTCCGAGTCGTACCCTTGGTTTTCCTGGAGCTCCTGTGATCTCAAGTACGGAGTGTTCCAAAAAATGGAGAGCCGTCCGGGGTAGCTTATAACAATTCCCCATAGGCCCCATAGTAGTTCCGTTTTGGGGCTCATATTTAGAATCCTATAAGGTAATCCCAAAAGGAGCTACTATGGCGCCTACGGGTAATTGCTGTTGGAGCCTGCTTGAATTGTCAGGCGCGAGCAGGGCTTCAACGTCTGCTTCTCGGGCGCCAATGCTGCGCAGCGCGCCGCGTCCGCAGGCTGTGCTTCTTGCCGGGTTCCGGGTTTGGGTTCGGCTGACCGAACCTCCCATGGACACTAAACTCACTAAACCCGAATGTACCAAACAACTCTAAATTCTAAACCGTACTATCACCCTTTATGGGGTTGCGCAATAGGCATACTACCTCCGAAAGCCGAATAGTTCAACCCAAGACTGAACCTAAGCCCCAAACCCTCTGAATTTTGAAACCCCCAAAATCCTTTCTAAGGCCTTAAAACCCAAACTTCAACTCCTTCAGGGCCTTAAGAGAGCCTCAAAAGCCCCGAGTCCGAACGCCTTTTGCAAGGCCATGATCCCCAAATCCCCTCAAATTTACCCTAAACAGGACCTGCTACCCTGAGCCCAAAACCCCCAACGGCAAGCAAATCAGAAGCAAGGCCTGAAGTCCCTGAGCCCTACAAGTTTGGGGCTGAGAGATTAGGGCTTCGGCGTCTTGAAGGGTTTAGGGTTCAGGGTTTAGGGTTTAGGGCTGTTAGGGCTTCTAATGTATCCCCAAGCCCAAACACCAAAAAAGGAAAACTCCAACAAAGCTTGAGGCCCTACTCCCTAAACCCCCAAACCCTTAACCCTGAACTCTGTGAGCCCTGCGCCTACACCCTCCTGACCTTAAAACCTTAACCCTGAACCCTAATAAGCCCTATACACCCTATACGTGATAACCTAACCTCAAACCCTAAATCCCAAACTCCCGAAAGATCCAGAAACCCGAAACCCTGCATAAACCTTATACACCTAAACCCTAAAGCCTATAAACCCTAAACCCTACATAAGCCCGATACAGTTTTTCACCCTCCACCCTCAACCCTAAACCCAAACCCAACTGTAAATCCATCCAGAAGCCCTAAACCCTGCATACACCTTACAAACACCTTACAACCCTCCACCCCTTAACCCTAAACTCTGAACCCTAAACCCTAGCCCCTAAACCCTAAACGCTGGACCCGAAACCTGAAACCTTAAACCCTAACCCCCAAACCCCCTAAAGCCGGGCCTTTGTCGGGGGAGGCGATCGCCTCAAGCAGAAGGCTCCCCGCGCGCGCTCGCGCGGAAGCCTCGGCGCTTGGCGGGGCGGCCCGGGGGTTCGGCTTTGGGGGGCCTTTTGGGGGTTAGGGGCGGTTCGGGCTTGAGGTTCAGGGTTTTGGGGTTTAGGGTCGAGGGGTTGCTGGTCCAGGGTTTAGGGCTCTAGGGGTGTAGGGTTTGGGGTTTGGGGGTTTTTGTGGTTTAGGGTTTGGGGGTTTAGGGGTTTAGGGGGTTCAGGGTTTAGAGGTTTGGTCTAAAAGTTCAGTTTGGAGGGCTTGAAGTGATTTTGTTGGGGGGAGTTTGGTGTTCAGGGCTGGAGGGGTGGAGAGCTTTCAGGGGTTTGGAGGTTCAGCTTCCTCCCTGCGTTAAGCATGGCGGTCCCCCTCTCTGGCTAGCTTCAAACCTGGGTCGCAGTGCATTTCGGGTTTAGGGTTTAGGGTTTTAGGGTTTATAGGGTTTAGGGTTTAGGGTTTAGGGTTTAGGGTGCATTCAGCTTCTTGTACGTCAACTTGGTCCAGCCACCTTTGCATGCGCTTGTTTTCCGGG